CAGCAATTTGGCAAACATTAGAGGAATTACACTGCTGTCTGTACCAGGAAAGGTTTTAACATAATTATTTTGAAAAGAATGACGGACTAGGTCGACATGCAGCTATGAGATCAACAGGCTGGCTTCCACCGAAACAGATCATGCACAGATCAAACTGCAAAACAAATGATCATTGTAGAACAGTCCATTGAATGGAAAACCCCCATTTATCTATATTTTATAGACCACGAAATTGTCTTTAATAGTCTGGACCGACAAACCTTGTGGAAACTTCTCCTGCATTATGGGGTACCAGAGTTCTTATGAAGAAATGACATGCAGGGTGATCCACGAAGTAGACTCACAGATACTTTTAAAGTAAAAACAGGAGTCAGACAATGATGTCTCTTATCCCCTTTTCTAATAATTGAGTTGATAATGAAACATTTCAGAACACAAAAAGAGGAACGGTATACAATGGACACCCTGGAAACAATTGAATGACATAGACTTAAAAGATGACACTGAACTTCTTTCTCACGACCAGCAACGAATGCAGGACAAGACAAAAGATGTAGTCATCATTTCAGCACAGCTCGGAATCAACTTAAATAAAAGGACACAGATGATGAAAGTAAACCCTGCCAACCAAGAGCATATCTCTCTCTGGCAGGAAATGCTCTGGAAGACGCGGAGTCCTTCGCATACTTAGGCAGCACCATTGACATACATGGTGGATCCTAGGTGGATGTTACGTTGAGAATTGGAAGGTCAGCATTTGCGTAATCAAAGAAAATGGGGAAGTCAAAGGAGCTGACTCTGCAAACCAAAGTCAGAATGTTCAACACAAATTTCCAAACAATCCTACTCTATGGAGCCGAAAATCGGATACCACCAGCAAGTATCACGCAGAACGGTCAGACCTTTATGAAAACTAGCCCCAGAAAGATTCTGAACATCAAATTGCAAAAAACTAACTATCACCAACAAATAATTACCGGAAAGAACATACCAGTAACCTACTGCCGAAGACATCATAAAGGAAAAGATGGAGGTCGATAGGGCACACTCTTCGTAACCATCCAGATTACCGCACGGTCAATCCCTGACTTGGAATTCACAGGGAAACGAAAGATTGGAAGGCCTATGAATACATAGAGACGCGAGCTGGAGGCAGGCACACAAATTATGGGACACACCTGGAAATAACTGAAAAAGAAAGCACGGGACAGAGATGAATGGGGAATTCTTGTAGACGGCCTATGCCCAAACGGGGTAAAAGGCATAAGTAAATAATAACAAATTTGTTTCATAAAAAAATTTTTTATTTGCATTTTTGTGCGACTTTTATTTATAGCTATAGTTTTTAAGAAATCATTGCAATAAATATAAATTTACTTCATTTCACCCCCCTCCCCCAAACCAATGCTATCAACAGCACATTTTTTTAACGCCTCTGAACAATATTCATATGTTAATGTTCCACTCGCTTTTACACCGTAGATTTATGACACCAACTATTTACCTAAACCAAAAGAAAATGTTACGCAGCAAACACACTGACTTGTGATATTTTGAAGAATCTCATTTAGCGCAGTCAACTGAATTTTTATTTCGTGACATTGGTGGCATCTGTGGCATCTTGTAGCGTTAAAAGTGAGTTTCGGGACTTGATCAAATAGACAGGATTTAGACCAGGATGCAGTAGATGACCAGCACTGTCCGCGTTACGTCACATGAGTTGTTGGAATTTTCATCTATCACCCTGTCATGTATATCAGCATATCATGTCTATCGCCCTGTTCTGTATGTCACTCTGCCCTATCTGTCACCATGTCCTGTATATCACCCTGTCCTGCCAATGCCCCTGTCATATCCATCAACCTGTCTTCCTATCGCGAAGTCCAGTCTATATCTCTGTCCTGTCTGTCAACCTGTACAATCATACTGCCTTATCCACAATCATTGTCTGTCCATCACCCAGTATTTTCTTAACTTTATTCACTTTCCTAGCAGACAACACTGGGTTTGTGTTTGATGTAATCCATGAGCTGAACCGTTATCTTTAAGTTAACAACATGTTAAATAAATGACAATATGTCGAGGAGATAGAAGATACAAGTTATAACTTAGAATTTTACTTGAATGAACCCGTACAAATCCCTAGTTTTAATGCAATGGTTCTCAACCTTCCTTATGCTGCGACCCTTTTAGCCAGTTCCTCACATTGTTGTGAACCCCAACCATGAAATTATTTTCGTTTCTACTTCACAAATATCTGTTTTCCAATTATCTTAGGTGACTTCTGTGCATGGGTCTTTCGACCCCCCACTGGGGTCACGACCCACTGGTTAAGAACCCCTGCTTTAACAAGTCTAAAATGCCAATGTCAATTAATTGTCAAGATCTTGACATGGTTCCTGGATGTTGGAAAAGTAAAGGTGCTAGTTTTATGCACGTGTAGATACTGTACCCAGCTCTCTGCTTATACATTTATAGATGGTTGGTTTTAGAGATGGTTTAGAGAGGTGTACACTAATTAACTTTGATGCCACACAAAAAAGGGTTGGGATGTCTCCAAAGTTTGAAACAATCCAGAGCAGGACTTTGGGCTAACGAAGGCGTAGGTTAAACACGGTTAGGGCAGGTTCATAGTGAAGTTGAAGGCTTTTAGAAGCAGATGCAGCGTGACTCTGACTAATTCCAAAGAGGGAGACAAGTCCTCTCTAAAAATACATTGTATAAAAAAAAGCACCAAATGTATTGGATGATTTTCAACCAGGTCTACCAACCATACTGTTAGCATTGAATAGAAAAACTTATTGCCTACTATTAGCATTGGATGCCACACATTATTGCCTACTATTAGCATTGGATGCAAAAAATTATTGTGCACTTTTAGCATTTACTACAAAAATTGATTGTGCACTGTTAGCATTGGATACAACAACTTATTGTGTACTGTTAGCATTGGATACAACAACTTATTGCGTACTGTTAGCATTGACTACAACAATGTTAAATTACTACATTATTTATTTTTATAAAATTATAATAATCAGGCAATGACTTATAAATTTGGTTGCCATATATTGCGTCAGTGGACCCCACTATTCTCACAATGACTTATAACTACTGTTGCCATATATTGCGTCAGTGGACCCCACTATTCTCACAATGACTTATAACGTTGGTTGCCAGTGGCCAGTGGTCAGTGGCCCGCATTCTCACTATGAAGACCGTGACCAATTGTGTAACATTTCAGATTAGGAACCCTCATGACAAAACCCAATGCTCTACAGGGAAGCTTGGCAAGGGCTTTCCATGACTGCGAGTAATAAACAGATATTTTTACCAATCGCTGATGTCTCTCCAAGTTCCCACACTATATTTAGGGGTAGAAACTCGCGTCTCTTTCACAAATAAATGGAATCTGGCTTCGATTTCCGACGTTCTGTTAATGCACCGGCAGGATTGCTTTTGAAAGGCCAACCAGGCAAGGTCTGGGCCAATATAGCCAGAAGTGTGCGGAAAAGTCAGGGTACAAATGTTTGCTTTTTGAATAACATTGAGCGACGTTTCGAAGGGAAATTATTCGATTAAAATAGCAGAAATGAAACATTAACAGAGGAGCTTTGAACGTGTTTAGAAACAAAATATCGTCTTTCTGGTAATTACTTGCCACGTGAAAATTATTTTTTCAGGGGGTGGGGGTGGAGGAAATTTAAAAAAAAATAAAAAAATTCCATATTTTTTTTCCTGGAAGCAGTAGCAAAGCTTTATTTCTATGTAATCTGACGCTGTATTACGAAAGCTTGATCGAACTGAAGACAATATAAATTACACTGACTTTGGTTCTTTAAACATAATTTTAAATATGTATAAATGTTGTCACATTATTCTAATTAACCATCGTTCAATTTTTTTAAAACCGATGAGTCTAAATACAGGTAATTACATATTCTAAAAGATATTTGATCGATCAACCATATCAAAATTACATTAAATGTTCAAGTCAACTCAATATTCTGGAGGGTAAACCAATTTTTTTTAAAAATGAAGACAAATCGTCGGATTTTCTGCAGGAAGCAGAACAAATGTCAACCTATTCATAATGTTAGCCACAAAAACATAACGAATGTAATGTATCAAGTCATTAATTATGATCACTCATTTTGCCATTCAAATACACGTAAGAGTTTGCCAATTGTCTCCAGAGACTGGTGGCTAAAATCCATAAAAAATATAAAAAAACACTTGTTCATAACAGTATAAAGCCTGCTGTACGAATGCCCGCATAAGCTGACGTTCACATAACGGTAAGTGAATTATTGTGGAAGTAAACTTTTGAAAAAAGTATGGTAAAGTACAACTCAAGAAGAAAAAAAAATGGTAGGCAGTAAACACAATGTGACTTACTGATTTTTTTTTTTCTTCAATTGTTAACAGTTAATGTTTTTGAAATTACTTGAGCAAGATGTCCGCCCGTCAAGCCACTAGTAAGAAAAAGCTTTATTTTAGGTAACAACTTTGAAGTGAGTAGAAGTACGATGCTTATCCAGCTTGCTCGTAACATGGAGTTTTTCTTATCGGAATATTGATGCTCAACTTCACAAAGAAACATTCACCATATGTTAGATGATCTCTAACTACAAACTTGGGACAATGAAATATGTAAATATTAAATCCTGTAAAACTGTGCAATAGATTAAGTATCGAAGGTCTCCTCAGCAAAGTTCACGTGAGTATTTTATATCACAGGCACTGTGTGATTATCATTTTTAGATTATTTTGTAGGTAAAAAGGTGCGAGGCCGGAAACAAAGGTTGTCAAACGCCAGATAAAGGCAAAGTCACAACTTCCGTCTGAAAGGCAAAATGTACAGATCTCCTTTCCGAACACGCACCTTCTAGTCAGGGGCCGCTCAGCCTAGCTCTGGAAGCAAGAAAGTCATTTTTAGTGGTCAGCGACTTCCATCGCTGCCACGGGCGGCGAATGAGTTCCTTCAAGCTGCGGCGGAAGCTCTCCGAGAAGAGGCTGTACAGGACAGGGTTTAGCGCTGAGTTCAAGTACAAGCAGATAAAAGCGAGGGGCGGGAAAAAGTTGAAGGTGAACGAAAGGGAAGGGTACACCTCCCAATAGTTCATCAAAAGGCGCACGTGGTGCGGCAGGACACAAACAGCGAAAGTGACCTGCACGAGGATCAGAAGGCGTATCACCTTCCGGCGCGAGGACAGCACGCGCACGGACGTCGCCTGGTAACGTTGAGTGTTGAGATCACTCGGTTTCGAATGTCCCGGGCTGGACGTGTCTGAGGCGCAGTCTGAGTGAAAGGACCGCCGCGGTGTCGCACTGCGCTTCTTTTTCGGGTTTAGAACAGTTGTAGTCATGTTGAGGCTTTTTACGCTTTGCCTCTTTGGATGCGTCCTCTGGAAATGAGGGCACGAAGGATTCATGCAGGTCATCTCAAAACAGTTTGCCCCATTTGGACCACCGCCAGATCTTACAGCGAAAGGGGACCGCCTGCCATGGTTGTTTTGATTGTTGCGCTCCACGTCCGCTCCTGGCGGCCAGGACCAGCAAATGGGCAACACTTCATTGTTCGCGGGGATCAGCTGCTGAGCGCAGCCCGTGGCGCACGACTTTGATTGCACAACCTGATTGGTTGAATCTCCACAGCAGCATCTCGTCTTCAGATCGTTATTTCCTATGAATCGTTCGGACGTATCCGAACAAGAAGTACAGGTGCACGATGTTCCGTCATATCCGCCGTTCATGTTGAAGCCAGCGTGTGAGCAGATGCTGTGCCCCCCGATACTGCTCGTCGCCCTGGTGTTTCCGCCCATGGTGGAGCCCACGCTGCCAGCGCCGCTGCTGCTGCTCGACGACATATTACCTGACGACCGCTCAGCCCGAACCATGGGCGTTGTCTTGGTCACGCTGCCATCACTTCCGGTGTCTCTGCCCTGCCGGCTGAAGATGCTCCCAGAGTGCCAGAGCGTCCATGAAATGATGGTGTACACGATGGACATCGTGACCAGTGGGAGGACGTACCACAAAACGAAGTTGATCGTGTAGTAGAGCTTGAAGAAGATGTCTTCTTTCACCGGGACACAGAAGGTCATGTTTTCACCCGATAGGTCTGGTAAAGAGTGGGTGTCGAAGAAGACGAGCAGCGGGACATTATAGACGCCGGCTATGATCCAGATTACAGCCTGAAAGACAAAAGTGTCGTGTTAGTCATGTGTTTGAAACACCCGTAGCGCTTAAAATACTCTCCCCTCCCGCCAAGTAAAATTAATTTTAATACTTGTATTTGTATACCTTTTAATAGATTATTGAATCACGTTTTCAAATGTTTAATAGATAACTTTGTAATTTATTCGATTAAAAACGAATTTTAATATTAAAAAAAAAATAAAAAATCAAACAATTTTTTTTATTTTGGGGGGTGGGGTGGGGTTAGGGAGGTGTAGGGGCATTTATTTCCTCTGGTAGTTTTCCCTAAGCGATAAAGTGCATCATTTGCGTAAAGCGGTAAGCAGTGCAAGGTCAGCCCAGAAACAAAATTGGCTCAAGGTCACCAGGGAGGCGGATTACTCACGTGGTGTACCGGAAACCCACTCTTTGATTCCTTAAGCCTCAGAAGATTTCCAGAGAAAAATGACTGGAACTGATTTCATTTCCATGGTCAACATAAAGTTCACTCGTAACCCTACACCCCTATAGGGATCCCTTCCAGCCTCACGACCATATAGAGATCCCTTCCAGCCCTGCACCCCAACAGAGATCCCTTCCAGCCCTGCACCCCTATAGAGATCCCTTCCAGCCCTGCACCCCTATAGAGATCCCTTCCAGCCCTGCACCCCTACAGAGATCCCTTCCAACCCCCTACACATAAGTAACATGATCTGTGCAAATCATTATACGTTGTACAGGTAAATGACATGTTTGTTTACTTGCTAAAAGTAAATGACATGTCTTGTTTACTTGGAACAAGTAAATGACATGCCAGGTTTGGGTCATCCGTAGGTCATTTACCTCAAATCAATTTGTTACGACTGGGAACATTTCTTTTAAAATTATATTTATTGTGTGTGCTGTGTTTGTTTATACTATTCTGTGCGCTGTGTTTGTTTATACCATTCTGTGCGCTGTGTTTGTTTATACTATTGTGTGTGCTGTGTTTGTTTATACTATTCTGTGTGCTGTGTTTGTTTATACTATTCTGTGTGCTGTGTTTGTTTATACTATTGTGTGTGCTGTGTTTGTTTATACCATTATGTGTGCTGTGTTTGTTTATACTATTCTGTGTGCTGTGTTTGTTTATACCATTGTCTTAACCGTGTTAGGTTTGTTTATACTACTGTTTGTGCTGTGTTTTTTTTTTATACCATTGTGTGTGCTATGTTTGGTTTGTTTAAACTACTGTGTGTCCTGTGTTAGGTGTGTTTGTACTTGACTATCCTGAATGATTCCACCCCTCTGATCATTATACCATTGTGCTGGGTAGCCGTCCATGGCTTGACATGTAAATAGTCCTGGAATGTGTGCAGTGAATGTACGTTTGTTTTCTTTGATTTAATTTAAGTTCATCTTTATGTTTGTTAAATTGTATGTACATCGTAGTGAGCCCAGCCCTAGGCTGGATGTACATCGTAGTGAGCCCAGCCCTAGGCTGGATGTACATCGTAGTGAGCCCAGCGCTAGGCTGGATGTACATCGTAGTGAGCCCAGCCCTAGGCTGGATGTACATCGTAGTGAGCCCAGCCCTAGGCTGGGTGTACATCGTAGTGAGCCCAGCCCTAGGCTGGATGTACATCGTAGTGAGCCCAGCCCTAGGCTGGATGTACATCGTAGTGAGCCCAGTCCTAGGCTGGATGTACATCGTAGTGAGCCCAGCCCTAGGCTGGGGTACCGCGCTATATAAAACCAGCATAATAATAATAATATACTCCTGTGTGGGCTGTTTATACCTTTTTGTGTGCTGTGTTTACTTATAGTTTTGTGTGTGCTTTGTTTCTTTATTCTATTGTGTGTGTTGTGTTTGTTTATACTTTTGTGTGCCGTGTTTGTTTATACTATTGTGTGTTCTGTTAAAGAGAGAAAAAACTTCGTTCTTTCCAATGCATTTGACAAAAATTATTTATTTTCTTTTTCAAGTTCATTTGAACATTGTTAGGGTTTTGGGATAAAGGCGAACCTCATTAAAAGCAGGGGCTGCTGGTTGTAGAAAAGTTTAAGATCTATGTGCAAATGTTCGGCTACTTTGTTAGGGCATAACAAAATAATGCCGTAATAGGCCAAAAGACTAAGAAATCTACACTTATAACAGTAATCACGTAATTTGAAATAGATTACATATAGTTTATTAAATTCAACTTTTTAGACTCAACTGATGTCCGGCAGTGCCGTACCAAGGGTCTGCGTGGGACGCGGACCGCACCGGGTAATGCCAAATTGAAAAATGTCATTTCTGTTACAGAACACACTGCTTGGTCAAAGTGAAACTCATGAAAGGATAACTGATCGCCCGTAACATGTAACCAATCCAAATGCGTGCTTTATTAAAAGTTCAACGTTGATGCGTCGCAAATGAGGGAAAACTATAATTAGGTCAGAAAAACACATTCTTGGCCATGATTCAACGCCGATTGAAGTGTACGGTAACTTTGGTAAGTGATGGGAAGCTAGATTTATCTAAAGTCTGGTGAATAAAGTGGTCTATTGAGGCCAACGACGAGTTGGTCGGGCGATTCTAACTACATGAACTGAATCGGTACAAATTTAAAATATTAAAAAAATGATATTTTACCCATTTAGAGGGTCAACAAAATAATATTTTATACAATTTTCTATTATCTTTTTATAATGAATATACATGTTTTGAGATGACATGCATGAATCCTTCGTATTGTTGGGGAAAAATGTATTAAAAAAAGATTTTTGAAACCAAAATATATCAAAACCCAGAAATACTCAAAAATGGATAGTTTCGTTAATTCGTCACTAGCACCACCCCCTGACTTTTGAGCAGGATTGACAGGTACGCAGCTATGAAGACCAGGAAAGGAAAGTTTTTAAATACATTAAATTTAATGTAAAAAATAATTATAACTTAATGTTGCTACAGTTCTTAAATGCATTACCACCTGACCTTCAATTAATTTGTTTTTCTTATTGTCTTATACTAGGGACTTAATTGAACCAGAAGGAATCCATCGTGGAATTCGGGGGAAGTTGGGTTACACCATGAGTTTACAGAACCGTGGGGGTGGGGGGGGGACAAAGCC